GAGGTTGGTGGTTCAAGCTCACCTGCTGCTCCTCGTAAACCCTATACAGGTTCACTGTGAGTCAGAACCAACTCAACGGCACTTAACAACATATATAAGGAAACTAGCTGATTCTGGGCAAATACTGTGAGAAGGGATTAGAGGGTATAGTGCCTGATATTCACCCAGGGCTTGTAGTCATGCCTGTTTTCACCAATGAGAATAGAAAAAATTAATTTATGGGCATAAAGTGAAGTACTTGGGTAGGTCTTGCATTAGCAGTAGGGTATACATAGACCTATACCTAACAAATTATAAAAACAATATTTTCATGAAAGGATCAAACTGTTTCTAAGTAACTTAATTGTATCCCAGAAGGATGGATCCCAGAAGAAAGCTTAGGCAGATTTATAGGGCTACAAAAGTATTTGAGCAAGGTAAAATTTTTAATGCAAGGAGACTTCAGAAATTCCATGGAAAAAATCCATTATCTTTCGATTTTACTTTTCTACAAATTTTTGAAGTCCCCTCTTTTCTAGTTTTGATATCTTTATTTCCTTAATTTTGTGTAAAGTTGAACATCTGTAATGTGTTTATAAGCTCTCTGTTTTTTTTTCTGAACTCTCTGTTCCTGTCCTTTACCCATTGGTGTTTTGGATTGTTTGTCTTCTTTGTTAGATATCTGGCTAATACAGTTGAAGAAGATGAAGAAGAATCGAAGTATGAAATTTTTCCATGGGCTTTGGGAAAAAACTGGAGAAAATTGTTCCCTGATTTCTTAAAATTGAGGGACCAACTCTGGGATAGAATTGATTATAGGGCGATTGTAAGCAGGCGATGCTGTGAGGAGGTAAGAATTTAAAAATACTTTATGTATGTTATCTCTATCTTCTATTAATTTTCTTTCAAAAACTTTTTAAAATGTGCTTCTAATGTTTCACTTTTTGTTTTTGTAAGGATACATCATTACCCTTGATCATTACCATGAATACAGCTTGTGTATTGCAGTGTTTCTGCTTTAATTTTGCATCACAATAGTTTTAAATGGTAATTTTAAATGGTAATTTCTGTATTTCAGAGGTGCCTACTTCTATAGCCAGGTTTTTGTTTTAGCACATTACTCCTAGCTAAAGGATTACTAACATATTGGGAGATGGTAGTATGAACATACCAAAATATCTTATTGATAGTGAAAATAACACTGAAACTGAATAATAATAGTTTACATTCAAGTATGCAAATTTTCAAGTTTCTAAGATTGAAATACTAATCACAGGGTATAAAACTGAAGGAAATTTAAATGTTTAAAAGCCACATGTCTTTTCTCATGGACTACATAAAGTAAGTTTATTACTTGATACCAGATTCCATTAAGATGTAGCAAAAGAACACTAAAATTTAAAAGATCAGTTGTTTTATCAAATGTCTTAGTTTTTAATACAGTTCATGCTTCAAACAAACAAAGAAATCTAGAAAATTCAATGGAAGGCAGTGATCACTGTAAACTAGTACTAATTCAAAAACGTCTGTAAATATAAGCTCGATGATCCTCTAATTCGGTAAAGTCATATCCAATTAAAAGGCTTGGCCTAGTTATTAGGTTTATATCAATGCTGATGGAAGACGTTAGCAGTATGTTTCAGAACTCTTCCCAGAACTAACCTAGTTAATTATATTTGTTTGTGAGCTAAAGACAAGGCAAATATGTGTATTTGTGGATTAAATTTAATTAGGATTGTTGTGTGTTGAAGGAACTACAAGGCTTCAGAAATAACTTAGAAAATTGTACAGTAGGACTTTAAATAGAAAAATATGCTAAAATGGGTGTACACAGTGTACTCATACCTCATTTCTTGGAAAGCTTGTCCACCAGATATCAGTATGCTTCAGTTCCTCACTTCATTCAGAATTCTATGTAAATGGTACTTCAGAGATACCTTTCTTTCTTTGTTTTTTTCATGTTTTTATTGTGGTTTGAGTGAAAGTTTACATGGCAGATCATCATTTTTACATTGAACAAATCATACACCTTGTTTCATTACATTGATTATAATCCCCTACTGGTGTGGCACTGTGGGTCAATAAGCCAGACTGCAAAACCATTGAACTGCAAGGTTGGTGGTGGTTCAAGCTCACCAGCTTCTCCTCGGAAACCCTATATAAAGGTAACTGTGGGTCAGAACCGACTTGACAATACTTAACAACATCAAAATGTACCATCAGTTAACAGTATTTCTCTATTTACTTTAGCCCTTTTATTTTTTTTTTAAACACTCAGGCATATATAATAATTTACACCACCAAAAGGCACATTCTGCAAGTCTGCCTCCTGGCCACCATCTCTTAGTCCCCCTCTTCCCATGAATCTAGAGTCCTCAATTGCTCCCTCTCGCCATGTCCCCATCTGTGCCTCCGTCCTTGCCTTCATCGCTGCTTCTCTGGATAAGGTCTCGCTTGTGCTCTTCTCCCTTGATGGTCCTAGGGTCCTCTGTTTCTGGACTGTAAGATTAACCACTCCCCTGTTTTTGTTACAAAACTTTTACCTTTATAGTTGTGGCAGTTACAATTAGTTATGATTAACGGTTACTCAGTATTAAATCTTATCCCCATCTCTTTTAACTAGACCCATCTAGACAAGATGAAAACTATTCAGTTGTGACTCTTTTCTTCCCGCACACTCTATTAAACTAAGCAGCCCCTTGAAACCTTGTAAGCCAGTCACTTCATGCCTTAATCGCCCCCTCATTTAAGGTAGCCAGTGTTTAAGTTGCCCAACTCTATTTGCCCTTACAGAGGGGATAGCATTGCTACTTGATGTGAAGACTCCTTCCCCTCTCTGTTAGTGTTTAGAGTTACCACCTTCATGAGTATAGGTCAAATTCATTGAATTGAAGCAATTTTTCCTCGTTTCCTTTATCAAAAATTGTTTTATTCTTTTAAAAAAAATCTTCCTGTAGTCATATTCTGATTATCAAGCCATCAAGTCTAGGTCAAATTGGTACTGTCTGCACTTTGGGCATTCTTGTGCGCCTCCTCACACTTCATATCAGTTGGATGCTTCACTCTCAGCTCTATCCCTCTGTGGCTGTGTCCTTGTCCATGGGCTCAGGTGTCCCCAGGTCTCACCACACTTTGGACCAACCAGCCCTTTCTCTTCTCTTTCTCATCTCCAGGTCAGCCGGAGTCTGTAGAATGTGATTGAACTCAGCCCATTTCTTCATTGCTTCTTTTCCCCCTCTTCCACTCACCAGTAGACCAGTGTGGTTGCCAGCAAGCTTATGTGCTTGCTCTTGTGTTACCTTTGAATTTCAGCCTTAAAGGGGGATTTGTCTTGAAGGAACTTGATTGCTTGCCTTGATGGCTTCCCAGTGAACAACTTGCTTATTCTTATGGTAGCTAGTCATGAGGACATTTATGTTTTGGGTTTTTCCTGATGATCTTTCTTTGAAGATGTATCTTGCGTTGCTCTAGCTGTTCCAGGCTGATCTGCTTGTCCATTCTAATGGGAATGTCCAACCTCAGAAGGTTTGGATGGGACTCATGATTCCACCTAAGGTCCTATACTCTGCAAAGGCTCCACTGGAGGCCTATTTTACTGGGCAAGTTGTAGAACCCCTTTTAGGTATTCCAGTCAGTTATATGCTGAAGATAGGCTTACAGATTTTCTGTAATCATGTTTCCCAACATTCCTTTATATCCAACTCAAGTGTCTATTTTACAGTAGTAGGATAGGGAAACCAATATATATAAGACAGTCAAGCATCTTAGTATTATTTCCCTTCTTCAAGCTGTGCCTTGAGCCCTGTATCACAGAGCCCTGTTGTTCCAAGGTTGAGCATGCACTACTGTTTACCTTTAGCACAGGCATACTATCCAGAAAGATCTTTTTAAAATAATTCCTTATAAAGTAGTGTCTCCCTGAGCAGAATAGAATTAAAGAGTCTGGAAATAAGCTCGCACATTTACGAGAGTAAGACAAAAACTATTGCTACAAAACCATAGAAACTTTAATTAAACAAAAATCAAAATGTAAAATTATTGTTTCTCCACATAGCCTCCATCTAGTTCCATACATGTCTGAAGGTGGTTTTTTTCATCTTTCTAATTCTTTTCTTTCTAGTACCTGGGTTGTGAAGAATTCTGTGCTCTTCAATTCACAATCATGTCAAAACTATAGTTTGGCATCCCGAGGGACTCAAATTATGTTTCTTTTAAAGGCTGTTTGAGTTTGTGGAACAAAAAGAGTCTGAAGGGACAAGATCAGGGCTGTAGGGTGCACAGGGTACAGTTTCTCAACATTCTCATAGAACAACCCTTGTTGTTGTTAAGTATCATCGAGTTGGTTCCGACCCATAGTGACTCTACTAACCTTAAATGAACAAATGCACAGTTGTGATGTAAAAAAAATACCTCAGTGCAACGTTCCTGATCTTTATCTCACGAGTGAAGTCTTTAATTTTCTTAAACTTTTTCCTAATAATCCCTTATGGTTGTCCTGTGACCTTTGAGAAAATATTATCCAATAACTCCTTTGGAATCTCAAAAAACAGTTGACATAGACTTCTGAGCTGACCTCTCTGCCTTGCATTTAACTAGCCCAGCAGATCCCATTGGAATGTTTTGATTGGACTTTGCTTTGTGAATCATATTGGTAAATCCAAGACTTGTTCCTTCTTATGATTTGGTCCATAAAATCATCTTCATTAGGTTCAATCTTGCTTAAAAGACTGATGGAAAGATCAGCTGTTTGAGTTAGCTGATTTTCACTCAAGGCTTTGGCACTCATTAAACTGAGAGCTTTCTGGGACTAAGATTTTCACTTAAAATTGAAGATACCAACCATGTGAGATCTCAATTTCAATAGCTATTGTAGCACTGGTAATTCTGTGGTCCCCTTACACCAGTTTCTTAGCATCAGCCACAGTTTCATGTGTAAAGGTTGACAGTCTTCAGCTCTTGGCTCATCTTTGAGGTCTTACCACCCAACCTTCCTTAAAACATTTCTTTTTTTTTTT